TGGCACCTGACAACAAGTCAGTGATAAGTTACTGAAGACATTGGGTGTACTGAAATGCTTGAGGAGGTTGAGAAAATGACAGATTTAGAAAACTCTTACAAAAGGTTTGGCTGTAATGACAAGAAAGGGTATGGGACAATGATAGATTTGGAGAAGTGGATAAGAGATAGCCAATCCTGTTTAAGTGTCAATGGGTATTATCCATAAGAGAAAACAATAGTAAAAAGTTGATAAACCATGTAAAATTTCTGAGACGGCAGGAGAAAATAGGATTCAAAATACATGTAGAGGGATGGGCTTTAGTTGGAGGAGGACTGCCTTTTTAAAATTTAATAGGGGTGAGGAGATGGATGTAGACAGGTTTGTAGGTTTGGTGGTAGGAAGGTGAGGAAGCATACACTTTTCACTGAAGTAAAAAAAAGTTTGAAGTACCTGTGGAAACCTAAGTAAGCCCCTACCTCTAAATCCCATGAAGACATCCAACCAGTAGGTGGTGTTCAGAAAAAGAACTGGGCTGGAGATAGGAATTTGAATGTCCTTAGCATAGAAGTAGGAATTACCAACTCTTGGGATCATGAGACAGAATCCGTAAAGCCTTGCAGTGGTTTCTGGGTGCTGTGTAGTTAAAATATAGTGGAGAAGGGTGGCACAGAAGGTCATTTAAAACAGACTTACCTACACAATTTTTGTTGTGTAACTGAGTACACATCGAGGTGGGGACTATGAGACACTGATGAACTGCAATGTTCTAGCAACTGGAGGTTTCACAGGTTTGCTCAGCAGGAAGGAACCTCAAATAAAGTACAAGGCAAGAGGGTGACAGGGAACTAGAACTATAAAGTTGTTAAAATGCTGTCAAGTTGGTTCTGACTCACAGTGACACCATATAGGGTTTCCAAGGAGCAACTGGTGGATTTGAATGGCTAACCTAGTGGCTAGCAGTCCAGTGCTTATCCTACAGCACCACACCAGGACAACAAAGTAGACTGAGTCTATTCCCTCTGCCCCCAGGATAGAATGTGGAAACACTTGATTTCTAGGCAGAGAGATGTAATGAGAACAAGTAAACTAGGCTTTCTAAAGTTGGGACTGGGTGGGGTGGGCAGGTAGGTAGTTTCTCAGACTGAATCTCCACACAGTCTGTTTCTCAGTATCCCAGTGCCCTGTGTTGAATGGAAAGAGGACTCCAGCATCATACTAGCTTTCTTGTGCTGGAGCAGAGAAAAAGAAAGTCTCTGGTAACCCCTGTTTATCCCAAGGTCCAGTTTTTTGTGCTACTGAGAGAGATGATTTGGAAGATTCAAGAGCTTTTAAGTATCCCTGTGCTCTTCTTCCCCCTTGTCCCACACCCCACCCACCATTACATGAGGCCAAAAAGGTGCTTTATTGCAATGTCTTTTATTGCATTACTGGAACAAGTTGGCCAGACTGCCCCCTCTTGGGGAAGGTAAACAAAAAGACCAAAAAGTATTTCCCTCACCTTCCCCCCGCCCTCCCCTACATCTGCACAGCAATGTCTGAACACATTTGGAGACAAGAACAATTTGCAAAAGTGGTCTCTAGGAACTACATTATGAACTGTCCCAACACAAGACATATAGTTGGCTTCCTTGTAAATCAGATATTCATAAACTACATGAATTTTTTGACTACATCAAAGACAACAGAATAAAGTTTTTCACAAGAACAACAGGGCACCAACATCACATGCTGGAATCTGTAAGGAAATAAAGTTGGTTTTCAAAATGGAGCTAAAGCAAGGTTGAGCAGTTGGCAGCAGAGGGCGCAGCTAGGCTTCATCTGGCTCCTCTGGGTTCTGAGGCCAATGAAGCCTCACAAAGGCCTTACTGTGGGGTGTTATCTACAGCAGAGACCACCTTGGAAACCAGGTATTGCCTAGATCCAGTTTTTGGTCCAAGAGGACCCATGGGGGCTAGTCATTACACCAACAAAAGGAGATCCATGGAAGATATCACATTGGCTCTTGGAGCTTCTTCAAAGCACATGCAGGCCAAAGACCCAGGGAGTAAATTGGAAGTCTCACCAAAGTTTCAGGAAGGAAGGTGTATTAGGAAATTCTCAGCATTCACAGGCCTGAGCCACATAGGCAAGGTTTGACATCGAAGGCAAGGTGCAGGAGAGAACATTGCTAAGACCTGTATCTACCTAGCTAGTCCTAAACTGCTTCCATGTTGGTGGATAGCTTCCCTAGCCATGAGAACACAACCCTTTTCCTTCAGCTCCAAGATCTACCCCCACAGTGGAACCTGGTCTTGGTCTGTCTCCTTGCCTTCTGCCTCAGAGGGCTGTAGTTAAGATACCAAAAAAACAGTCCTAGTGCCCAGATCATAGGACAGGACACAGGTAGACTCAAGACTTACTCTCAAGATTATAAGGCAAAGGAACCCTATCCTGACCCTATACACACACACACACACACACACACACACAGGGCCTAGTGGTCATTAGCTGGCCTCTGTGCCATTTCCAATAGCTCAGTATTGAGTAAATTATGTGGCAACTGGTCAGAAATGATACTTTTCAACTTTTCAAATGATTCCTGGGTCTTAGATCCCACAAAGCAATGAAAAACAGCAAGGGGGGTAGGCAGAGTAATGTGGAAACGGTAATGAAGGACAGCATAAAAAAAAAGGAATGTAGAATGGGATCTAAAGTAGTCCTTCATAAGCCAGCCAATGGAGACAATAAGATAGTGCTTGCTCTCTGGCTGTATGGTAGATGCAGACACAAGGTCCAACACCATAGGCATTTATCCTTACTGCACTTGGGTTTCTTTTTAAAAAGACATTCATCACTCTAAAATTTTAGTACCAGAGAGAAGGATTCTTTTTACCCAGTCTTGAACATCTAATGGCTTAAGCAGGTTCAACACCAGGAACAAGCCATTTGGGTGTATCCATCAGCAATTAGCCTAGTAATTTACCCATGGTGAGAGTTGCAAATTTTTTCAAGGAAAAATTCAGTATCTTTTCATTCCAGTTTTCCATGAACTTCTTGAAACCCACTCAAAAACTTTCAGAAACATTTCAATCTGGCAATTTGGGGGAAGGGTATGTAGCTGGCTGGCTATCAATCAAGGGCTTAAGTTAGAACAATGACACTGAGTGTGGAGGTTCGCTTGTCTCTGTGTCTTACCCAACCCTGAAACTGAAACTTAACCAAGGAAAAGCCAAAGAATGCTCCTTTCTTCTTAGCTTCATTCCTAATAACTCTGGAGGTTTTTTCCAAAATTTAATCCTACATTATGGCCCATTCTAGTTCTCATCACCAGTGAACATAATATTTAAATTTCATCCTTAGAGCTTTCCTAGCTGTAAGCCTTATACATCAAGATCTCTGGTTCAGTCAGGATACCTGACTGCACAGTTTTGGGCTCAAACAGCTGACTCACTCTGAGCCTATTATAGTTTCAGGGTTGGCTCAGAGACAGATGGACTCAACTTGTCAAATGAGTGTTGAAAAATGGGGTGGGGCATAATGCAGACAGTAGATGCCTAGCCCCTAATCCATTCACCTAGCTTCACTCAACTAGAAAGCTTAACCACATGGAGCAGATGATTCCTAGCCAAAAATCTAAATGAAGCATGAGGGAAGACTGTGTACATTGTCTTAAAGGATCACAAAAAAGGCAACAAGAAACACTCTAGATGGCTTCTACTAACAGTTTAAACTCCAAGCCGTCTTCTCTTCTTCCTGTAAAAGCTTTAGAAACCACTGGATGGAAGCACATGGATAACGTGCCCTGTGGTTAAGACCCTCACTCTGGACTCCAGGGCTCCTGGGTCTGTGATTTACTGAGGTCCCTGACCACAGTCTAGCCCACCCTCCTGCTACAGCCTTAGACACCTATGGTTCTCTAACCCATACCCACCAAGGGAGAGGTGATAAAGAAAAACCATGTTTACTGTTTCTGCAGGGCCTTTTAACTTGGGGAAGCACATATAAGAATGTTGTTCTATATCAATATTTGGTATATTCAAGTCATCTAAAAGCACTGGATTGCACCTTTTCTTTACTTATACAAACAAGTTACAAAGGTTTCAAACAACAGACCATTCTGTAGGCTAAGGAAACACCACTAACGCACCAACTTCATTTTATGATTCAAAGCTCACCATCTCCACAAAAACACTATTCCTTATTTCTGAGAAACCAGGGCAGGGAAGGAGTTATACTGAACAATTTTAGTATTTGTAAAAACATACACACTCTAGTTTTTCTTTTATTTTCAAGTTTTGGTATAGAAGTGTGCATTCATATATTAGTGCCACGTTCTCCCATCTGGCCTTAGACCAGCAATAAATTTTGTTTTAGTGGGAATAATTTGGTTTCTGAATATAATGCTTCTTTAGAGGGGAGAAGCTAGGGGCTGCTGAAGCCTAAATTACGTTGAAAGAATAAAGTATCTTCAGTTGAAGGTTTCCCTCAGTTGGTTTAGATTCTTTAAATAGAATTCCAAGCCTCCCCATTTTCCTTTGGTTATCTTTTTCACCAAATTCCATGCTACCACGGAACCAAAATAGCCTCTGTTTTTGGGGAGGGGGGAAGTGGGGAGTACACATGTATCCTAAGAGAGGCTGTGCCAAAACAAGACAGAATCTGGCAGAGCCATACCCATGATGCACTCTCAAAGACCAAAAGAAGACATGGACTCTTCAGCGGGTTCAAATAACCCCAACCCAAGCCTAATGTGTTCTGTTGAGGCTGCATGACTAAACAAAACAAAAACCCCAATAAAACAAACTGCAAAAACAACATCTGCTTCCAGCTTACTATGTTAGTGCAGCACACCACTGAGTCCCAGGGAACCCCATAACCCTTCTTTCCCACCCTGGTGGGCTGCTGCTCCATCTCCACTTCACATTCACATAATCATTTCTTGTGCAAAACAAGCAGTCTACGTAGAAAGAATGCCCTCATAGTCTAATAAAAACTGTAGAAAAGAATGCTTGAGAGCCACCTCTCTTCCCACCCCCTCTTTATCTGCAGAACGAGGGCATCTGTGCGTGGACAGGGTAGGTAAGCCTGACGTTGAGGGAGTCATTGTGCTGAACAAGGGATATCTGCTGGTAATGGAGCACCAACTCCTTCAGTGAGCTGTACAAGTTGTAAGGCTCTGCAAAGCCAAAGCCCCGAGCAGTGCTGTAGATCACACAGTGCTTCACTTCTCCATCGGCACTGCAAAGATATAACACAAAAATACCACAGGGAAAATGTTAAGAGAGAAAACAATAGATAAAGGAACTATATACATGACCAGAAGTCTGAAAGCAACTGTTAGCAAAGTGAGAAGTAAAAGCGTTTTCTAGATTAGACAAAACTTAATATGTCACATGCAAGTGCGTATTCCCAAACACCCAGATATAGTTATGGCCACAGAAATATCTTTTTACTTTCCACTAAGAGTCGGAGTCCTGGTGTGCAAGATCAGTATGAGCCACGTCAGCGGTTCAAGCTCACCAGCTGCTCCTTGGAAACTCTATACAGGGTTGCTATGAGTTGGGACTGACCCAACAGCGTTTAACAACAACAAAGAGTTGGTAGAAATCACTGAGTTCTGGAATTTCATTAGGTAAGAAGAATGCACTACAGAGGGCAGAACAAATCTAATTTCTTTAAGTGCATAATTCAAAATATTTTCATCACCCCCAGCTCAAAACACTACTTTCTCCTTAACAGTCACTTCCCATTTTTCCCTTGCCTCAGCCCACAGCAACCACTAATCTGTCTTTAGGGATCTGCCTATTCTGGACATTTCATATAAATGGAATCATACAATATATAGCCTTTTAATCTGGTTTCTTTCACTTAGCATGATATTTTCAAGGTTTGTTCATGCGGCATGTATCAGCACTTATTTCTTCTTATAGCTGAATAATATTCCATTGTAACATATAGGATAAGCACTAACCCATGATCAGTGGTTCAAACCCCCTCAGCTGTTCCTTGGAAATCCTTTATAGGGTAGCTATTGAATCAGAACCGACTCGATGGCACTGAGCAACAACATGGTTTATCAGATGTCCCATCTGCAGATGTGGTCATGAGGACAGTAAGCAACTCATCCAAAATCCAACCCTGTAAACTAAACATTTGTCTCCCTTCATTTTAAGAATTCTATTAGGCACTGCCCTATAAAACAGAACAGTGTCATTAGTATTTGCAATGTTTTTAGGATTATCTCCCCTTATGATCTTTTAATTTTGTGAACCAGTTTTAAACATCTTTGTCAACCTTGTTTGACTCACCACAATACATTGCAAGCGATTTCACAGACATTTTTAAGTGTTGTCACCGTTAAACTCCGTCAACTTTTTAAAAGTTTTACTGCTTCCTTTGCCTTTGCTTGCAACATAAGCCCTGAAATCCGAACATTACTGGTGGAGGCTTGAAGAAACCACATAAAAATAGATTTGTTGATTGCTGCATAATTTCCATCCCTTCCTTTCTTGACATTTATGTTGATTCCACTCATGTATTTTTTAGTTCTTTTATCCTTTTCCTTAAAAATTGAATAAGTTTGTGTTTTATAGAACTTAATTACAGCTTCCTTGATGGTCTTTTTCTCTTCGATTATTATTTTGAAAATGTCAAACTTTTCAGTCAGAGATAAATTGATCACTTATTTGTGAAGGGATAAGCTTTTTTAAAAAAACGGAAATAATTTTTTTTTATAAAACTTAGTGAATTTATGATTTTCCATTCTCAAAAACATGAACATCTCAAAAAAAGAGAAAACTATTAACATAATTATATGATAAAGTTAGCACACTTCTGAAAATTTTTAAGGAAGAAAACCTCATCAGAAGATTTTTGCTTTTGTACACACACTGAATGTGTTAAGTGAGTAAAAGCTTCTCTATTTTTGGGCAAAACATGAAATTTAGAAGGAAAGGATTTCAAGGAAATGAGAAATGCATTTAGAAAACTATAATAAAGTTATCACCATTTGTCAGTGTATCGTACTGTGGTGGCTTGTATGTTGCTTTCATATTGGAAGCTATACCACCAATATTAAAGTACCAACAGGGTCACCAATGGTGGACAGATTTCATCAGAGCTTCCAGACTAAGACAGACTAGAAAGGAAGAGAGGTGAACCACTTCGGAATGATTAGTCATTGAAAACCTTATGAACAGCAAGAGAACAATGTGTGCCAGAAGATGCATCCCTCGGGTTGGGAGGTACTCAATATATGACTGGGGAAGAGTTCCCTCTTCAAAGTAGAGTTGACTTTAATGATGTGGATGGAACAAAGCTTTCAAGATCTTCATTTGGAGATGGAGCACAACTCAAAATGAGAAGAGACACAGTTGCAAACATCAATTAATAATCAGAAAATAGAATGTACAAAGTATGGATCTAGAAAAATTGGTAATCGTCAAAAATGAAACGCATAAAAATGGACAAGAAATGGCCATTTTTAATCCAACAATCATATGGTTAACTATGCCATGAAGGACAAACTGAAGAGAAATGATGTCGCATTCATCATGAGAAAGAGCATTGCAAGACCTATCTTGAAGTTCAGTGCTATCTATGAGAGGATAATATTCATAGATTTACAAGGGAGACCAGTTAATACTATGATTAAGACTATTATTATTCAAATTTACACACCAAACACTAAGGCAATGATGATGAAATTGAAGAATTCTACCAACTTCTTTGTAGTCCTGGTGTGTCACTGCAGGATAAATTGGTGGTTGGTGGTTCAAACCTACCAGCAGCTCCTTGGAAACCCTGTACAGGGTCGCTATGAGTTGGAACCGACTCCACGGCACATAACCACCACTATATATATATACATTTTAAAAGATGCATTGAGGGTGATTGGAATGTGAAAGTTAGAATCTGAGAAGAAAGATTCATAGTTGGAAAATTTGGCTTTAGTGATAGAAATGATGCTGGAGACAGCATGATAGAATTTAGCAAGACTAACACTTACTCTCAGAAAAGACCTGTTTTCAACAACATAAACAATGACTATACACCTGGACCTCACCAAATGGAATACACAGGAGAATTGACTACATCTCTGGGAAGAGACCATGGAGAAGCTCAACATTATCAGCCAAAAACAAGGCCAGGGGCCAACTGTGGAACAGACCACCAATTTGCACATATGCAAGTTCAGGTCAAAACCGAAAAAAATTAAAACAAGTCCATGAGAGCTAAAATATGACCTTGAATATATCCCACCTGAATTTAGAAATCAATTCAAGAACAGATTTGATGAATTAGACACTAATGACCAAAGACTAGAAGAATTGTGGGATAATATCAAAAACATCATATAGGAAGAAAAACGAGAAAGAAAGAAAAGACTAAAATAGACATCAGAAGAAACTCTGAAACTTGCTTTCCAGTGTAGAGATACTTAAGCAAATGGAAGAAATGTGGAGGTAAAAGAGTTGAACAGAAAACTCCAAAGGGGAGCTCAAGAAGACAAAGTCAAATATTGTAATGAAATGTACCTGGAGTTAGAAGACCAAAAGGAAAACGTTCAGAATTTCTCAAGCTGAAAGAACTGAAGAAAAAATTCAAGCCTTGACTTGAAATATTGAAGGCTTCTATAGGAAAAATTTCAAGAGGTGTCAAATGGAGTCCTGGTGTGGTACTAAAGGATCAACACTGGATTGTAAGGTTGATTGAATCACAAGGTTGATGGTTCAGACTCACCAGCCATTCCTCGGAAACCCTATACAGGGTCAATATGAATCAGAACCAACTCAATGGTACATAACAAAAACAACATGGGCAAAATGGGAGTGCAGTAGTTTTGAAGGGTAAGCACTGGACAGTAAACCACAAGTTAGGTGGTCTGAGCCCACCAGCCACACTGCAAAAGAAAGATGAGACTTTCTGCCCCTTCAAAGATTTAGTCTCAGAAACCTATACAGGGTCACTACGAGTAAGAACTAACTCGATGGCACCTAACAACAACATGGGCAAAGTACTGAATGACACAGGAAGCATCAAAAGAAAATAGAAGGAATACACAGTCACTGTGCCAAAATGAACTGGTCAATATTCAAACATTTCAAGAGGTACCATATGATCAAGAACCAATGGAACTGAAGGAAAAGTCCAAACTACACCAAAGGCATTATTGAATAACAAGGCTCCAGGAATTGACGGAATACAAATAGGAATGTTTTAACAAACTGGACAGCACTGGAAGCATTCACTCATCTACACCAAAAATTTGGAAGACAGTTACCTGCCTAACCGATTGGAAGATATCCATATTTGTGCCCATTCCAAAGAAAGGTGACCAAATATAATACAGAATTCACCTAACAGTGTCACTAACATAACATACAAGTAAAATTTTGATGAAGATAATTTTAAAACAGTTATAGTAAAATATATACAGGAAGCTACCAGAAATTCAAGACAGATTCAGAAGCATTCATGGAAAAAGGGATTATCACTGCTAATGTCAGATGGATTTTGATTGAAAGCAGAGAATACTAGAAAGATGTTTACTTGTGCTTTATTGACTATGCAAAAGCATTTGACTATGTGGATCATGACAAACTATGGATAATATCACAAAGAATGGAATTCCGGACACTTAATTGTACTCCTGTAAAATCTGTACAAAGATCAAGAGGTAGTTGGAAGAAAACAAGGGAATTTAGGATAGTTTAAACTCACAAAAGGTATGTGCCAGGGTTGTAGCCTTTCATCATATTTATTCAATCTGCAGGAGTCCTAGTGTGGTACTGTAGGATAAGTACTGGACTACTAACTGCAAGGTTGGTGGTTAGAAACCACCAGCTGCTCCTTTGAAACACTTTACAGGGTCACTATGAGTCGGAACCAACTTGAAGGCACTTGACAACAACAACATTCAATCTGCATGCTGAGTTAATAATCCAAGAAACTGGATTATATGAAGAACATGTCATCAGGACTGGAAGAAGACTCATTAACAACCTGAGATATGCTTATGACAAAACCTTGCTTGATGGAAGCAAAGAGAACATAAAATACTAATCTGATGAAGATCAAAGATACAGCCTTCAGTATGGATTGATTGCACCTCAATGTAAAGAAAACAAAAATCTCACCATTGGACCAATGAAGAACATGATATATGGAGAAAGCACTGAAGTCAAAGATTTCATTTTGTTTGGATCCACTATCAACACTCATAGAAGCAGCCATCA